ACACACACACATACACACATACAAAATTGAGCATTGGAGGGAGACAAATCCCTTTTCGTCACATTTGAGAATCTAAATCTTGGTCCTCATTATTTTTAATTTTCAACATCTACCTACATGAAAAGTTCAAAGCTCTGCCAGGTGGCACCTACTATATAGGCTGTATATTCACTTCGCCCCACAATATGACAGTGTTGGATGGAACAAACAAACAAAGTTATCAGCAGTGGGGATCAAAAAAGTTAAGTCTGACTTCAAGATTTCACCTCAAAACAGCTTGTATTCTTCTACTGAGAAGCAATCAGCTTAACACCTTGTGCTATCAGGAAGTATGTTGTGTGCAAGCCAAAGTTTTGTGAAAGGGTGTTATGAGAAGAAACCCAGCAAAATTTCCAAAATGAATTGGGTTCATCCTCGGGAGAGAATGACTACAGCTGAATACACACAAATATCATCACAATATGCCATTTGTGTATAAAATTTATAATTCTGGCACCACAATAATTCATTTGCAATGACCAATACAGAGATCAAAATGTTCACTAAAATGCCACAGTAATCCCTTTATTAGGGGCCGGGCAGCCTAAACTGCCAGGACCCTATTGTTATCTTGCATGTTGTTGTTGTTGTTGTTGTTGTTGTTCTTCTTCTTCTTGTTCTTCTTGTTCTTCTTCTTCTTCTTCTTCTTCTTCTTCTTCTTCTTCTTAGGAAATCCTACTTCCCATGCGCGAAAAATCACCAAACTTTGCACAAAGGTCCAGTCCCATCCCAGCCTCTAAAGTTCAAAATTTTGAAAATTCACAACAAATCAACCATATGTGCTACAGATTTGCAACTTTCGCCAAAATGTAGCCCCAATACGGAAGAAACTTTTGTACATTAAACCTATTGCAAATTATGAAGTCCATCACTCTGTTTTTTTCAAAAACTGTAAAACCTATTAAACCTATCTCCTCCCACAGTTTTTGCTCAATTGACACCAAACTTGCTACAGAGCATCTTCAGACTGTCCTACACAAACGATCCACACAGATTTTTGATTTATCGAAAATTGAGCCTACAGTGCATCAAAATGTTTGACTGTAAACGAAATTGTAAACATATACTTGCAAATTCTTGCTAAATACATTTTCAATGTTCATTAAAAAAAATGACAAAATTTTGGAGTCATGGTAGATGATGTTTGGAAAAAATCAGAATTTTATCTCAAAAACTGAATTTTTTACAGCATTTTGAATTTCGCTCTCATGCGAACAATTTGAGTCATTGCAAAAATGACATTTTTAAACATCAGTTTTTCACTTATGGAGCCAATAAATCATTGTTAAAAACAAATTACCAACATCTCCATGCTGTCTAGATGCAATTTGTGTATTTTCGGATTTTTTTCTTAATAACTGAATTTTTGACAGCCGTTTGAAATCTGCCTTTACACACTAACAGCTGCTGTCTTGCACACAGGTGACTGGCTTAGTCAATTTGTGAAGCTGTGACATTTCTGTTTGCCAATTAGCTCAGTGAGATAGAGGATGGTTCTTTGTGTTGAAGATTGTGAGTTCAAGCCTCAGCTCGTGCAACATATTTGAGAAATCTACCCAAACTTTTCACAAAGGTCCAGTCCCATGCCAGATTGCCTCAGCTGCAAAAACAGGCCAATAGTCCTGATGGTGGTGCTACAGCAAGCCTCTAAAGTTCAAAATTTTGAAAATTCACAACAAATCAACCATATGTGCTACAGATTTGCAACTTCACTTTGAAATTTGCTTTTCCATGGCATGGATGGCTACTGTCTGGCACCCTGATGTTTGGCTTAGTCAATTTGTGAAGCCACACATAAACTGTCACTTGCCAATTAGCTCATAGAGACAGAAGATGGACCTCAGTCTCAGAAGTTGTGCGTTCAAGCCTCAGCTAAGGCAGAATGGACATTCTAATGTCAAAGTCCTATGTTCAGGCATCATGCTATGTGGATTAGAGACTACTAAAGTTAAAATAATTATGATCCAGGCAGTTTCGCAGAGAGACAAATACTCTTTATCAACAGTTTTCCCTGTTATCCCTTGTCTCTTTTCCCTGTTTATTTGGCTTAGCTATTAGTCAATATGCAGAGTCTATCCAATAGCTACTTTTACTACTTGCTACTTTTACACATAAAAAATGTTTTCATCTTTGTCACCATGGCAAATGTTTAGCTTTAAGCTAGATCGGGCCAGTTTGTTCATAATTGCTAGCAGTTAATGTTATTCTTACTTTCTTGTTCTTGAGGGTTTTTTTTCCTTTGTATATTATGAGTCTGATCACTTCAGCCACTCATCCACAATTTGAAGGGCATGCCATAATTATATGATGTAACTTCTACATGTTACATGTTGTGATATGCTTTGTTTTAGTGTGTGTGTTGCTCATAATTGCCTAATTTTGCCTAAAATTGCCCGGCCCCGATCCATTGCTGCACAGCAGCTATAATTAGTTTTTGAGATGCAAGCTAGCATCTACTCATGGATGAGTGGCTCATGGTCATGACAGCACAAAATGTAAATATTAATAGCATCCTTCATGGGCTGAGCTGTAGGTAGCTCAGTGGTGCTAGGTGACTCTCCAGCTGATCCAGAATGCTGCAGCACATGTACTGTCAAGAACCAGGAAAAGAGATAATATTTCTCCTGTTTTAGCTTCTCCGCACTGGCTGTTTAGGCTCTGTCAATATTTCAGAGCACTCATAGTACCGTATTATCTCACCAGAACACTGCACTCTGAGAATGCAGGGTTATTTGTGGTTCCTAAAGTCTCCAAAAGTAGGACTGGAACCAGAGCCTTCAGCTATCAGGTTCCTCTTCTGTGGAACCATCTTCCTGTTTCGGTCAGGGAGGCAGACTGTTAGGGGGCTGCAGCAAGGACCCAAGTGCGGACAGACGGTGAAGCAGTTTGAGTCCAAAAGGTTTATTTTAGCTTTCTGGGTGATGGGCTGCGTCCAGAGGGGAGGATGGGAAGGGTGAAGGGGTATGGGCCCAGAGCGTCCAAGGAGGGGGCAGGTTGAGTGGGGAGCAGGCTGGAGTGTCCGAGGTGGGGGCAGGGTGAGTGGGGAGTAGGCTGGAGCGTCCAAGGTGAGGGCAGGTGGAGCAGAGCGGGGCCAGAGAGCAGAGCAGAGCAGGCGGGTTGGATACTGGAAACACAGGAAAACAGGATTACTGACAAAGTTTAAGTCAGGGATTCAACTAGAGGCTAGAGTCGAGCTGTATACTGACTTAACAGTGGCTACGATCTGGCAGCGTGGATGTGGCAGGGCTGAGTACAAGTAGGCAGTTGATTGCAGGATGAGATGCAGCTGGTGGTGCTCTGCTCTGTCTCCGGCACACCTGTAACCACTGCTCACCACACCCACACACACACACACACACACACACACACACACACACACACTCAAGCAACAGATGTAACACAGACACCATCTCCACTTTTAAGAGTAGACTTAAAACTTTCCTCTTTAGTAAAGCTTATGGTTAGTGCTGGCTCAGGCTTGCCTTGGACCGGCCCCTAATTAGGCTGATATAGGCCTAGTCTGCCGGGGGACCTCCTATGACACACTGAGCCCCTTCTCTCTCTCTGTCATCATGTGCTTTTGTTCATGTCCTATTACTGCATATCACTACCCTGGAAATCCAGAGTTCTCGTGAGAGCACAATTTGAATTTGCTCAGCGAGTCACTCTGGCAATCAGTAATGATGCTCATTACCCATGCCGTTGGAGCCGAGCTGCACCAATCACATCGGTGTATCTGATATAGACGGGCCAGAGGCGAGCTAAACAGATGACGACAGCGCTGCGACGACGAAGTCCGGAATCAGTCAGTAAACATTGCAAGATGGCTACGGATGAACACCAGTTGTTTGAAACGGCTTTGGCCGCTACAATGAATGAGTTACACTTGGCTTTTTCTCTTAAAGAGGAACAGAAGACGGCACTCGAATCTCTCCTTTGCAAGAAGGACGTTTTTGCTGTTTTGCTGACCGGATACGGCAAGAGTCTAATCTACTAGTTAGCTCCGCTGGTAGCGCTCTGGATAAGTCACCCCGTGTATTGTTCTGATTGGTCGTAGTGTTATCCAATTGCGTGCAGTGATATTTTCAAATGCATGCTTGGTGCCGCCCCTCGAGTTGGGCCATTTGCATTACTCATAGCCAGACCCTAAATCTTTCTAGATTTGGGTCTGGATTTTCAGGCTAGCATATCACTGCATATCACGTCGATTGGCTTCTTCTCAACAGCCTTTGTGCTCCACTGTCTCGCAGGTTCCCTTAAATTGCAGCTACACCTGGATCGTGGGTCATGGTTATGCTGCTGCCATGGTCCTGCCTGATGCCTGCTTCTATGGCTATTATTATTAGATATACCTACAAATCTACTATCATAAACTACCATTATTATTATTCATATTTCTGTAATTATTGTTATTGTAGTTATTGACATTACTATTGTTGGTGTGCATTTCTCTCTGTGTCTCTGTCTCTATCTGTCTATGTATCATTTTGTCATATGGATTTTTGTACATTTATTATGTTTATCTGTTTTGTACAGATGGCATCTATTGCAGGTATGTCTGTCCTGGAAGAGGGATCCCTTCTCAGTTGCTCTTCCTGAGGTTCTATATTTTTTCCCTGTTAAAGGGAATTTTTCCTTATCCACTGTGAGGGTCCAAGAACAGAGGGATGTCATATACTGTAAACCCCCTGAGGCAAATTGAGATTTGTGATATTGGGCTTTATATATAAAACTGAATTGACAAAAAAAATTAATAGATGCACGCTTCCATCTGTGCGGTGATAGGGTTGGCGGATGTGGTTCAGTAGAAAATAGAAGTAAATACTCTGCTCAAAAAAATTAACGGAACACTTAATGGTCACAGCATAACACCAGGACAGTTAAACTTCAGGGATATCAATCTGTCCATTTAGGAAGCACAAGTGACTGTAAATCAGTTTCACCTGCTTTGGTGCCAATGAAAGTGACAACAGGTGCAATGGAGAGGCAAAAGCAAGAAAACCCCCAAAAAGGGAATGGTTGTACATGTGGTGGCCACAGACAGTTGCTTTCTCCTTATCCTTCCTGAATGATTCTTCTCTAGTTTTGTGTTTTGTATGTAGCATGCAGTGGTACCTGCAGCCCAATCGGATTGCACAAGTAGTCCAGTTCTTCCAGGATGGCATATCTATATGTGCAGTTTCAATTTTAATTTAATTTTAATTTAAATTTAATTTAAGCAGCAGGCAGCTCTGAGTCTACAGCTGCGCCGCAGCAGCAACGCTGTCTATGTGAATACTGCATGTGTGTGAGCAGCAGCAAATCAGCAAGGTAGCTGTCACTTGCTGCTCATGCAGAGTGCAGCCCAGGCATTACATGGCTATTTGAAATATATGCCTGGTAGTTGTTTTCTATGGCAGGGATTATGGAATATTAACGGCCATTTTGGCCAGCAAAAAAAGAAAAAAACTTTGAAAAGTCTAGCGTAACCCCTATTTACAACACTGAGTGTAGTCCTTCAGTGCCTCATCCTCTGAACACCACGGGACACAGGGTAGAGACTGTGGGCCCTATTTAGATGGTCTAAAACGTGAAGTGCCAGGCTTGCGACGCATGGGCGTGTCCCAGTCATTTGCTAGTTAGACAGCGCATTTTTAGACTGTGCGCCATGGCTGAGAGTCTAAAAGGGTTGGACTTACTCTGTGAATTAGTCATGGGTGTGTTTTGGGCGTATCATTCAACAAGCCAATCAGAGTTTCACCTCTCATTCCCTTTAAAAGAGGCGCGATTGGAGCGCATGGCGGAGAGCTAGTTAGATGGCGGACCTACCAACTGGAAAGACGAAGAGACGGATCTCCTCTTGCGGGAGGTGAAGGCCCGTCAGAACCAGATCTACGGGGACAGCAGACAGGCACCCAAGCTCCCCAAGGTAAAGCAGGCATGGTAGGAGGTGGCGGCGATTGTTTCCTCATCTTCTGGCATCACCAGAACCATGACACAATGCCGCAAAGGGTAAAATGATGTCAGAAGACGGGGGAGACAGAAAGTCGCCGCCCACCGACACCAGCAGCATGCCACGGGAGGAGGCCCACCCAACACCACCGACGATCTGACGCCAGCAGAGGACATCGCTGCCTCTACCCTCAGTGTGGATAGCATTGAGGGCTTTGGGGGACTAGAGGTTGGCGTCCATGGTAATTCAATAATCACAATATATCAGTGTGTACAAACCATGCAGGCTTCTTGAGAAATGTATTGATTTCACATTAACACACAACAGACATTCAATGAATCAACCAAACTTTATTTACATAGTACATTTCATAGCTACATTTTGTTTTTAAAATGAACCCATCATCTTCATGCAGCTCTTCTGGCTGATGATCCAGGGGCCGGACCCAGCTGCCAGGAGCAGGCGGCTGTTGTGGGGGAGGAGGAGACCGCACCTGCACCTCCGACGAGACTGAGACGGAGGCAGCTCGCCCGGCCTGAGGACCACCCATTCCTGGAGGTCCAGCGAGGAGGCTTCACCATGCTCGAGCGGGAACTGGGTGGCCTCAGGCGGAGTGTTGGGCGCCTAAACACTCGCCTGAGCCGTGTTGAAGGCCTGCTGCGGCACCTTGGTCGCATAGTCGATAGTTTGGACAGGCTCGCTGGAGCAGCTGAGCGCCTGCTTCAGTGAGGAACACCGCCACATTCTCCTCCTCTTCCTCCTCCTCCTCCGATCAGATCTCCGCACTCCATCAGATCCTTGGCAGCATCTCTGGCCCCTGCAGCTCCTGGCCCCTCCCGTGGCGTGCCGCGTCGTGGTTCTCCTCCCCGCCTGAGAACAAGAGGAGGAAGAAGAACCCGTTAATTTTCAGTTAAATTTTTTTTTTGTGTGTATATTAAAGCTTTATTATCCTTCATCTTTACTTTCTTTGAAATGAGATTGATTATGTTCATTTTGTCTTCTTATTTTAGATATGTTCAGTTTCTTTTCTTCAGACACAGTTTCGACTGAGCCTTCAGTCTTCCTCAGAAGCATCATCCGACGTGCTGCTGACACTTCTGAGAGACTGAAGGCTCAGTCGAAATTGTCAAGCAGGCAAAGAAACATCTCCTTAACTCTTTGGTCTGAAGAAAAGAAACTGAACATTTCTTCAGCTGATAACATGAGGAGACTGTTGCATTTAATTTGGATGAATAGAACTAACCCCCACCCTGTTTCAGCCATATCGCTTGATGCTCAAAAAGCTTTTGATAGGGTGGAATGGGCCTTTTTATTTGCAACTCTCTCAAAAATTGGGTTTGGTGATGGTTTCTGCAGATAACCAGTCAACTAGACAGGGGTGCAGTCTAAGCCCACTATTGTTCACAATTTTCTTAGAACCATTGGCCACGTTGATCAGAGCAGAGTCAAGAATTAAGGTTGTCATTGGAGGCGGCAGGGAGCATAAATTATTTCTTTATGCTGACGATATTTTGGTACTGAGTCGGGATCCAGCCAGTTCTGTGTCAGTTTTACTCGAAACTCTTTAAGCATATTCTAAAGTGTCTGGTTATTGCATCAATTGGCACAAATCAGAAGCCATGCCAGTGTCTCAAACTTGTTCACACGATCAGCTATCCGCTTTTAATTTCAAATGGTTACCAAAAGGGATGGAATATTTAGGTATAGAATTAGATCTAGATATAAGGGAAATTATGATAACTAACATTATTAGTATTATTAGCATTACAGTATTAAATAAAATCAAAGTTAATTTGGATAATTGGAGTAAACTACACCTGACATTATGGGGTAAAGTAAACACAATAAAAATGGTTGTGGCACCACAAATAAATTACCTAACTGGGATGATACCCATATGCATTCCAAAACAACTATTAGCAAGATATGACAAAATGATAAAACAATTTCTTTGGGAAAAAACCTCAAATTTGTATAGATAAATTATGTGAGTCGAAGAAGAGAGGGGGTTTCTCATTGCCAAATATAAAATATTATAGTATTGCCTTTGAGATGTCCAAGCTTACAGGACATTGGGATGAAGCTGGTGCTGGTCTGGACTGGGTCCTGATTGAGCGGGAACTCACCTCCCCCTTTAAACCCATCGAGGTTCTAGCACAAACAGTTAAAAATGAGAAAAAAAGGGTGATCAATCCTATTCTAGAGCGTTCAAAAATGGTTTTGCAGAAGTGACCAACAACTAACAAGTAAGGAAGGAATCATTTCACTGATGGGTAACAAGTGACTTACAATTCGTGACTAATGACTGATGAACAAGACGCTGACATTTTTTTGGGTTTTCAGTGGGATGGGAGTCAATTTCATGACTCATTACATAATTGGAACAGGACAAGAGAAAAAGTAGGCAGGACGGGATTCATAATAGTAATATTAAACTAACAATGTGACTGACTAACAACTCAGGTGACTAATGACTTATGGCTAACAACTCCGGACTAATGAAAAACAGACTGATTAACAAGTGACTAACAACTCATGTGACTAACAACTAACACGTGAACAAGGACTCAAATGACTAATGACTAACAACTGATTAACGACTCGTGTGGCTAATGACTAATGACTAACAACTCATGGAGAACAGACTGATTAACAAGTGACTAACAACTCATGTGACTAACAACTGACTAACGTGAATTAAGACTCAGATGACTAACAACTGACTAAGGACTGACTAAAGACTCATGTGGCTAACAAACTAAGACTAACAAGTGATTAATGACTCATGTCTGTGTTACTCCATCAACATATGCTCCTCTGGTCTAGTCTATCTTACTATATAATGACGAAAACTCTGTCTGTGGGTGTGTCTGTCTGTGTCTCTGTTCCACGTTTTTCTCCTCACTGACTAACAACCGATTGCAATTGCAAATTTTGAATGGGCATATCTCATGCCCTGTATGTCGTAGACACATGAAACTTTGCACAGCGATGCCTCTCCTCATGAGGAACAAATTTGCCTCAAGAACCCATAACTTCCGGTTATATAGATTTTCCGCCATTTTGAATTTTTTGAAAAACACTTTAAATCTTTCTCTTCCTAGGAAGTTTGACTGATCTGCATGAAACTCGGTGAACATAATCTAGGGACCAATATCTAAAGTTCCCTCTTGGCAAAAGTTGGAAAAGTTACTAAAACTGAGCTTCTATAAGGCAATGAATATTGCAGAGGGCTTGGCTCATCACACAAAGGTGTATAACATCTCAAGGGTTTCACCGATCACCACGCAACTTTGTAGGCATATGACCACACATAATCTGAGGGGACTCCTCCATTATTGACCCGATCAATCAAAATGGGGGTGCTAGAGAGCTAATTTCTTATCTAGGCCTAACCGCCATATTGTTTTTTATTTAATTTGGTAGTTATGTAGAACAGGATGCCTCAAGGTGACTGGAGAAATTTAACTCTATTTGGCAACTGGGTGGCTCTATAACAACAGAATAATGCTTAAAAATGGCTAAAATGCGACCGATCGCTGTGGTTCCCCCTGTGGCCAAATGTTTTTGTTTTTTTTTTCTCTAATTTTTGGTATGACTAAGTCATGGTATGGTATGCTGCACATAATCACAGAAATTGTCAGTGTGTCATTCTGTCAGTCAGTCATTCTGTCCCACGTTTTTCAAAAACTCTGTCTGAATACATTGCTCTTCTTAATGGGTTCAGTTGACTATTTAATCTGCAATTTCCTATGACCTGTATCCCAAACACACACCATGTGAAACTGTACATGGGCAACTGTGCACTCAATGGGTATGGACTAGTTCACCATAAATTACAAAAAGAATTGTAAAACATGTGCAAATGAGTTGGAATGTAGTTGGCTAATAAGGTGTTACACAGAGAATGCTTTATAAACAGTGAAACCACATAGGGGCCCGTTGTTCGAAAGTAGAATTAAGCAATCCAGGATAAGTGGAAAAGCGAGGCTGGACAAAGTCTAATAAGTCCATTCTGGCTTAATTGGTTGTTTGAACGCCAAGCCAGGCTGAGGAGGAGCGGCTATGTCAAGCCAGGTGTAACTTATTCAGGTAAGTGTGCGTCCACGGCTTTCATAAATAAACCACATGGGTCGATCGCAGTTTCACTGATGCACCAATGGAGAGGACACATGCGGCTTACTTCTCGCCCAGTGAGCAGCGTGTCATTATGGAGACTTATGATGAGGTTAAACACATAATAACTAAAGGAAACACAGCAGCAATTATTAAGCAGAGAGACAATTCGGACCGACTGAATGCGTGAGTAATCTAAAAATATACACTTACAGCGCAAATTAATCTGTCATAATTACAATTAAAGTTCCTTTCACAAATTAACAGTTGTACACTTTGCCTTAAAGGTGAGCAGTGGAAGTTAATATACTCGGGAAATGTAGGTATCATGATGATTCTTGATTCAATGCGCAAAACTCTTATAGGCTATATATAATCTCATTTAATGCTCATACAGCACAAATACAACAGCCGATTTCACACCAGCGGAAGAGCTTGCGCTTGATCAAAACCAAGGCAGGCTGATGATGGAGGGGATACAGGGAGGGACAGCTATACCAATGCCAAATACACCCACTTGTATGTGTATTCCAACAATTAATCCTTTTATTGGTGAGGATATCTCCATGTCAAGTATCCTTGGGCAAGATGCTGAACCCCAGATTGCTCCCAATATTGTATGCACCCTGTGTGGTAGACTGACGGCATTAGTGTGTGTTGTAAAATGGGTGAGTGAGCAGCTGCACACTGCTTAGCGCTTTTATCTTAAGCTCTTTATACTTTCTATAAAAATACAAACATAAAATAAAATCCTGCTATAAACAGCTATTGAATAAAAACTGCAAACAAAGCAGCTATTTTAACAAAAAAAAACCCTGCTATAAAAGCAGTTATAAGAAGGAGAAACAAAAAACAGCTCTAAAACCATCTGTGTGACTGTCATTGCACGGCTCCGTGCTGTGCGGCGCTGGATTTGCGCACTCAGCAGTCTGCAGAGGTAGCTGATGCCTTCTCCTGAGAACCTGTACCGCTTGTACAGGTGGTTGTCATCAAAAAGCAATGGGTCCGACCTGTCCCGAAGCACTCTCTCCCATCGGAATGCCCTTCGCAGAATTAGTGCCTCTTCATCCATAGGACTTTATATATTGCCCTCATCACTGACTTCATTGAAGACACCTGACAGTGCTTGTCACATGAATAATTATGACAAAAGTAATGTTTTAAATGTTTATTGTTTTTTTCATTATTGTAGGCTAAATGTATTTTGTTTGTTTAAAAATGGGGCAAATACGTACATAAGAACATGGAATAACTGTAAAACACATTGATTTCCGATCGCAGTAACAGCTGACTGGACAGATAAGGCACCAGGATAAACTAAGCCTGGCTGTTAGCCTGGTCAGGACAGAATAAATCTCCATGGTAACATATGTGCCTCTGCTTTCGAACAGCCGAGTCAACGCTAAATTAAGACAGGATGACCAACATATCCCGGCTTAATCCCTTATCTAGGTTTTGAACAACGGGCCCCTGGTCAATTTTGACCCACTAGAAAAAAAATCGCACAGTCCACAGAAAGCCTATTCAATCAGTCAATTTTATTTATAAAGCCCAGTATCACAAATCACAATTTGCCTCACAGGGCTTTACAGCATACGACATCCCTCTGTCGT